TGCCTAAAAAAACAATACCTTAATTAAAAAATACTTTATTGCTAAAAAATGTTAATCATCACCTGAGCCTTCAGTAAGTCACAATCTTTTTGCTGGTGGAGGGTTTTGTGATAATGTTGATGAAAACGCAATAATTGCGTGGCACATTAAAGTGAAGTGCAATAAAATGAGGCATATCTGTATTGGCATATGTCCTTTCAAATGCATTAATTGAACCATCTTGACCAATTTATGAAAAACATAAAGCTTCTGTGTCCATGTGATGGGAGAAAGGATAAGGAGACGTCAAAAGAGGAACAGGTGAGACAATTTATAATTTACTAAGACGGGAGAATCTCATTAGAAAAAACCTTTGATGGAAGGAAAACAGGTGCATGCATATGTATGTGTGACTCACCAGTGTCTGGTGTTTGATGTAAAACACTATGGGTAAAATCCTGGGGTGCAAAAAATGAAAAGGAGCACCCACTTTTTTTTTTTTTTTTAAGATTTTTTATTGGGGAATTAGGGGGATGGGAACAGTGCTAGGGAATCGGGGGAAGGGGAACAGACAAGTTGCTGTCGTTTTGTTCTTCAATCTAGTTGTGGAGGACGTTGCTTCACTGGCCCAAGTTGGCACCATCAGTGCACTCTTCCCGGGTGAGGCAGATCAGTCGCCGGCTTCTGGACGCCGCTCACTGCGGCTGCTGGCCGCTCACGCTGGCTGCTGGCTACATACGGTAGCCCATGGCAACCAATTGCCACAGGGGCTGCAGCCTACGCCGTCGCTGGCGACTCCTGGCAGCCCAGCTCCAGGTTGAGCTGTTGTTCAGCATCTTAGCTGTGGAGGGCAGTGTCACTGGCCCTCATATGTGGGATCCGAACCGGGGCCCTCTGGCATTCCAAGCCAGTTCTTAACCATTGCGCCACTCAGCCGGCCAGGAGCACCCACTTTTAAATAACGCTGGTAGAGGAAAAGAACCAACAACTTCCCATACCAATCAAATGAACTATATTTTCACAGTGTAGATTCATAAAATCTGAAATAAATAGATACTTAACAAAATGCTGCTTTTCCTAGAGGGCCATTATCCTGAATGTAGCAGAGTCTTATCATAATAACACGAGTTAATTTTAATATGTTACATTTTTATTTTTGACTCTAAATAAATATTTTCTATGGAAAACTTCACCCTATGACTTTAAGTGATTTCTATTAATGTTATATGTTGCCTGGTTGGGGCATTACATCAAAGTTTGATGAAGAAATACTATTTCTCTTTTTTAAAAAATTTAAAATTGTAGCAGGCTTTTGCTGCCTCAGGGGACATGACTTGACTGAAGGCGATGTTATTATGTGATGCTGTAGAGTAGTCTAAAGATAAAAGTCAGAAGTGTTCAGTGATTTATCTTCATAGTTCCAGCATGCTAAAAATAATTATTTCTCCTATTTGCATTAACATGCCAACCAATGACATTAATCACCTTCAAAGATTTTCCTTGTTCTTGGAGTCTGCTGGGGTAGTTTTTAAAAAAAATCCACATATAAGTGGACCCCTGGTCCCCCCCAGTTCAAACCTGTGTTGTATTTAAAAATTCATGTATATGTGGACCCATGCAGTTTAAACGTGTGTTGCTCAAGGGTCAACTGTATTCTCTGGATCCCATTCCCCTTTGACGTCTCAGGGACCATTCATGTCTTTTTTCTCTCCCACGTTTTCAACGTCTTCCTCCTCACTGGATTCTTTCCGTCAGTCTGTTTTTTCCATATTTTAAAAATATTCTATTTTCTTAGAGCAGTTTTAGATTTACAACAAAATTGAGAGGAACGTAGAGACGTTTCTTATATTCCCTGTGACCCCACACATGCAGTCTTCACCATTATCAGCATCACCCACCAGACTGGTACATTTGTTTACCAAAGGTGAATCTACATCATTACATCATAATCACCTGGAGTCCATAGCTTACCTTAGGGTTCACTCTTGGCGTTGTACACTCTATGGGTTTGGAAAGTATAATGACATGAATCCATCATTATAATCTCATACGAGTACTTTCGCTGCCTTAAACATCCTCTGAACTCTGCCTACTTCCACCCCTGGGAAGCACTGATCTTTTTATTGTCTCCATAGTTGGAATCATACAGTATGTAGCCTTTTCAGATTGGTTTTTTTCACTTAGTAATATGCACTTAAGGTTCCTCCATGTCTTCTCATGGCTTGATAGTGCATTTCTTTTTAGTGCTGAATAGTATTCCCTTGTCTAGATGTACCACAGTTTGTTTATCCAATCACTTACTGAAGGACAGCTTGGTTGTTTCCAAGTTTTGGCAGGTATGAATAAAGTTGTTGTAAACATCCATATGCAGGTTTTTTCTGTGGACAGTTTTCAACTCATTTAGGGGAATACCAAGGAGGGTGATTGCTGGATCATATGGTAAGAGTATGTTTAATTTTGTAAGAAATCGTCAAACTGTCTTCCAAAGTGGATGTGCCATTTGTACTCTCCTGACTGAGAGTTCCTGTTGCTTTACGTCCTCATCAGCTTTTGGCGTCTTTGGCGTCATCAGTGTCCTGGATTTTGGCCATTCTATCAGGTGTGAAGTGGTGTCTCGTTGTTTTAATTTGCATTTCCTGATGACATACGATGTGGAGCATCTTTTCGCAGGCTTATTTCCCATCTGTATGTCTTCTTTGGCGAGGTGTCTTTAGCCCATTTTTAAATCAGGTTGCTTGTTTTCTTATTGCGTTTCCATGGATATTGAAACAGTCAGCTCTCTCACAAGGTCAGCAACTGTAACAGCAGCAGCAGCAGCAAACATGCACACAACCCAAACCCCAAACCCTCAGAACCCTCTCTTAACCCTGTATCCATTTCTATTCTGTCTTCGTTTTCTCTCCAGACTTGCTGTCTCCATTTCGCATGCACTCTGCATCTCACTGATGTCTGGCCTCTGTCCCCAGCCCTTCCTCTTCCAACATTCCCAACCTTAGAAAATGGCAGCAGCATCCACTTAGTTGCATGCACCGGAAGCCTGGCAATTAAGCTGACGCTCCCCGCCTCCCTCCCCTCCCCACATACAAATGGATAACCTGGGTCCATTGACTTGGCCACTGAATCTCTCACAAATCGATCCACCCACTTCCTTATATCCTGATTGCCCTTCTCTAGTTTGGGAAGATATTGTTTCTCGTTTTATGTGAAGGTGATGGGCTGGCTGGTGTGTGCTGCTGCATAAGGAGGCCATAAACACTTACGGGTGCTGATGACTGCGCAGGCAAACGACCTAGTCCCTCGAGATTTCCTTGTCGTTTCAGCACCCTCCTTGTATGGGTTTTCTGTTTGGCATGTTCGCTTCTGCAGCTCTCTGTTGGTTCCTTTCTTCTTCCCTAGCATCTTCCTCTGATTTGTGAGGGACACCTCTGTTGTTCCTAGGAGTTCTGAGCTCATCATGACTGTCATTTAGCTCTGTGGTGGGGTCCTGGCTCGGACCCTCCCTCGCTGTAAGAACTGGAACAGATCATGGACTCCCTTGACTTTTATTTCCTTATGTATCAATCAAGTGGCTCCCGCTAGAACAGTGGGTGTCTGCCCTGTCTGTACGTTAGAATCACCTGGGAGTGTTTAAAGCGCCCCATGCCCAGGCTGCCCAAAGATCAATGCCATCTGCATCGCGATGCCCAAGCCTCAGGATGGTTTAAGGCTCCCCCAAAGATCCCAGTGTACAGACAAGGTTGAGAACCACTGACTTAATAATTTTAAACAGTCTTTGCTCTTCTTTCATTTCATGTTTTTATCAAGCTCCAATCCCAAATTGAGATTTCCCTTCTTTAATGTTTTTACTAAATTGAGAAGAAATAGCTGTGAAGTTCCCCTCCCCCCACCTTTTCCATCTGCTGTTTGTTCTTATTTACATATGATGGAACCCAGCCCACTGATTTACAGCTCTGGTTCCCTTACAACTGTTATTGAACTGAAAACATAGCTTAAAACTTATTAAACAGAAAAAAATTATTTTGAGCTTTGTGCCGACAATTCATTATAGAACCAAGAAAACATCTAAACTTTTTTCCTTCTAGAATTAATGCTAAAAATGGATTTACAACCCCATACTTGCAAATGAAAATTTTAATTCTGGTGCCAAACCTACTATTTATTCTTTCCTGAGTGTCCCATTAAGAAAACCGAAGCATCTCTGTAGGCGAATGGAATTTCGAGAGGTTTGTACCAGTAAACAGTCAGGGCCTCACCAAACTGTTCCGTGTGGGCCTCTGAAGTTAAGTGTTAGAATCCCTCTCCCCTCAGTCATCTCTGCTGATACACAAACAAATGCTGGGAGAAAAGCCAGGGCAAAGCCATCATCAGTGTCAGTGCGGTCTCACTGTTGAAACCCTCAGGCACAGGTCTTTCAGAAGATAGCCTTTCTATAGCAGTCCCTGTTAGACCTACCGTTTTAGATTTGAAATAACATAAAACTTTTCTGACCTGCAAGGGAGAAGAGGGGAAACCAGGAAGATGACAACAAACAGCCAAGCATTTGGTTTATCCAGTAGCAACGCACTAAAGCTGGAAAGAACTGGGGTCCTGACATAACTCTGGTTTATATTTGGGGAGCATCCTTTGGGGTGCTAGCTCTCCCTGCCTGTTGCTTTGTTAACAGTATCTCTTTCAACTGTTCACTCACTGTCTTCTGCAATACCTGTCTGAAATACAGAGCTCATGCCTTTGCTTGCTTCTTTCAAACCTTTATTAAACTATTGAAATTAGTTGCTACCTTGATAAGGATGGGATGATAATTGTTCTCCTGGGAGAAATAGTTATTTCTAGCGGTGGTGGTTGTGGTGGTGAGGTGGGGGCAGCATTTTCCTGGGAAAAGAAATGTTGCCAGAGCATGGAGTGAAGCTGAAAGGAGCCCCTTTTCCACCATGTTGCACATTGAACTATTTCTTGTGGCCCAGAAAACCTTGTCTGAAGTTTCTTGGTTTTTGAACTGTCCCTTTGGGTATTTTTTTTTGTAGATGGAGGAATTGATTGAGGGTGTTCGTTGGGCCTTTATTGACATGCTGGAGAAAGAAAATGAGTGGATGGATGCAGGGACTAAAAGGAAAGCCAAAGAAAAGGTAAGGATTCCTTTTGATGAAAAAACCCCTCACGAAACCCCGACTTTTGGTTTAACGGAATTTCATGGTGGACATTGTGTAGTTTATTTTTCTACTGACTAAGCTGTTGACTCTGAATGACCCCAGAGTTAGGTGTCTGTTTTTGGATGAATACATAGATTTCATCACCAGCAGGTAAGAGAAAATAAGATCTGACTGTTTCTTTTGCGAACTGCATTTTCAAACACCTTGTAATCCAGCCTTTCGTTCTCTCCTAATTGCCATCTGGAAGAGCCACATGGCTTGCTGCCCAGCAAATTTTGCCATAAACCCTCATTGGCTGTGGCAGAATGCAGAGCAGTGGGGATCCTTGGGGAGCAGTTGGCAGAAGAGCCCTCAAAGCGCAAAAAAGAGAAACCCATATTGGTCGTGTGTCCTGCTCTGTGCATGATGTGTGCAAATGTCTCCAGGCAAATCCTTTCCTGTGACCAGGCAGATTTACTTTCTAACCCTTCGTTTTGCACAAGTGATCCAAATAGCATGCTTAGAAACTAGAGACCAGTGGTAGATCATTGTGTAGGAAAACAAAATTATTTCCTAATACAGCTGGACGCCTGTTAGGTCTTGCAAAATTTTCTAGTACTATGCAACAAGCTAAGGAAATAAGTGAGGGAAGTGTTAGCAGCCATGCTGTTGAAAAATAAAGAATGGGACCCATTTTGAATTGTATGTATCCTGGTGGGGCTGGAGCTCAAGTGTGTAGGGAATAGCTTCTACATTCTTCATCGATGCTGCTCTGTAGCTTGGAGACTCTGAAACTAGGAGCATCTCTTCTTTTTTTTTTAAGATTTTTATTGGGGAATTGGGGGGATGGGAACAGCGCTGGGGAATTGGGGGAAGAGGAACAGACAAGCTGCTGTCGTTTTTGTTCTTCAGTCTAGCTGTGGAAGACATTGCTTCACTGGCCCAAGTTGGCACCATCATTGCGCTCTTCCCGGGTGAGGCCGATCAGTCACCGGCTTCTGGACGGCCACTCACTGCGGCTGCTGGCCGCTCACGCTGGCTGCTGGCTACACACGGTAGCCCATGGCAACCCATTGCCACAGGGGCTGCAGCCTACGCCATCGCCGGCAACTCACGGCAGCCCAGCTCCAAGTCGAGCTGCCGTTCAGCATGCCAGCTGCAGAGGGCAGTGTCACTGGCCCTCATATGTGGGATCCGAACCGGGGCCCTCTGGCGTCCCAAACCAGCTCTTAACCATCGCGCCACTCGGCCGGCCCAGGAGCATCTCTTCTTTAGAAATGTATTTTTGAAACTTTCCTGAGAGTAGCAATCATGTGGGATGCCTGGTCGCTCTATAGCTTTCTGGGCCCCTCCCCAACAAGGTCTGATTTAGTGGATCGAGGGTGCAGCCTGAACAGTTGTGATAACCAGTCTCCCTGGTGATTCTTATCGCTAGGCAGGCCTGGGGAATACTGCTCAGAGTCATATTGAGTCAGGCCGAGCACAGGTATGTTTGCCTTATGGTCAATAAACAAAGAGGGAGAGGATTTTGGGGATACATGTCATTATACATTTGTCCAAACCCATTGAATATAGAACACCAAGAGTGAATACTCATGTAACCTATGGACTCTGGGTGATGATGATGTGTCATCACAGATGTAGGTTCATCTGTTGTAAGAAGTGTCCCACTCTGGCGAAGGGATGTTGTCAGTCGGGGAGGCTGTGCACGTGTTGGGGCAGAGGGTGTATGGGAGATAGCTGAACTTTCTGTTCAATTCTGCTGTGAACCCGAGACTGCTCTCAAAAAAAAAAAGTTCTATTAAAAAAAAAAAAGGTGACATTCTGGGAATGCTGAGCCTTGTTGAAATGAGAACGTACAGCGGCTTAGCAAGGATATTTTCTAGAGCTTTAATACTCCTGAGATGGATAAACATTGCCATAGATATTTTTGTCAATAGACATGTAAAGGCTGTTCAGTGTTTACCGTGAAGAAAGAACTTGGGCGGCAGGGGGGTGGGGGGTGTTGGAGGAAGACAAAGGGTAAGTGTCAATTTTTTCCACCTTCAGAATCTGTCAGAGCTGTCTGAACTTATGTAAGGTGCAAGTTGATGAAGGCAGGAGCATGCGGGCTGTGATGAGAAGCTCTCCAGATGGTAGATGAAACTTTCGGCACCAACATGTTGTTGTTTTTTGAAGGCCTCATTTGTTTGCCAGGCGAACTTCTGATATCTGGAACAGAATGTGTGTTGCACTGGGAAGTGAGAGCTCAGCGCACTGGGGGCTCTTGATCCTAGCCTGACCCCTCGTGGCCGAAGGGCTATTGGTGTGGAGGATGCGGTGGTGACGGGGGTGTGCCTGTTACTGTTATGAATGGATGAATACCAGGGGAGTGTTCTGGCACTGCAGTGAGTTCTTTGGGAAGTATGGCTGCTGATTGCTTCAGGGAAGTCTTTGGAGTTGCATAAGGGAGTGGGTGTCTTCCAATTGGGCCTTCGAGGCAAGCGGCCCATGGGTGGGTCCTCGAAGGAGGATTCTTCTCAGTCCTTCTAATATTAGACATACTCCTCTTTGCCCCTGAGTTGCTCTACAGTATTCCATTTTATTTTCATGAGAGCTGTCAGTTTTTCTTCTAAAAGTACAGCAAGTCCTCACTTAACATTGTCAATAGGTTCTGCGACTTGAAGCGAAACAACGTATAATGAAACCAGTTTTACCGTAGGCTAATTTATATAAACAAGAGTTAAGTTCCTAGGGCATCTCATCAACATTATAATGAAACAGCATTGAATGAAATGGTGTGATTTGAGGACCTGCTGTACTCTTGGAACACTCGGTTTCTTTGAGGTAAATTCAACCTGCCAGGAGTGCAAATATCAAAGGCATTTGTCCTACTAGATCTCATCAGGCTCCCTGAGTATATGCTGTGTTTCACAGTTCAGAGCAGTTCCTTTAATGAAAGGCAAGAAAGAGGGAGTGTTGTCCAAGAATCTCCAGCAGTTCTCTAAGGCATGTCGGGCCCTGTACCCTAGAAGATGATTTTCTTTTTCTAAATTCAATCAATGTGCAGTTCTGAAAATGACCTCTGGGTGGAGCTCGCAGTACTCACAAAGGCACACAGGGCGCTGAAGGCTTTTATGCAGCTTTCTGCTCTGGGGTTGTTTTTGAAAAATTATCATTTTTTTCTTGCCCTTTTTCTCTGCTGTCCTCGATTTGATTGCCTTTTAATAGTCAACAAGAAAGGAGCGGCTCTGCCTAATAATTCCTTGAATCTCAGAAGGAAATCTCTGATGATCTTAGGGCTTTGTCTTTCTGACATTGAGGGGCCCCTGCAGTAAGACACGATTTGCCTCCATTGGAAGTGGAGGTGAATAATTTGCCTGCTCTTCCTGGTATGACTTGGCACTGTTCTTTGGGCATGTGTTGCATGCAGTATATCACTCAGGCGGAAGATTTCTCATCAATAATAGTGCCCACACGGGCCAATGCTGAGTCACTTGGCAACCCATTGGGAAAGCTGGAAAAATGTTCTGATTTGTGAGGGGGAGAAACTTTTCTCTCCCGTACAGCTCAGCTCTGGACTGCAACTAATTAAAGCCCCTCCTAAGGGGTGTTGACCTCAGTATTCCCTAATGACTGTCCCCTGAATGGGGAAGGTCCATCCAGAGACCTGCAGTGGGCTGAGGCCTAACACCTTGGCTTTTGTGGCAGCGACCTCGGCCTCAGATGGAAGCGTGGGGAGGCGGCTGTGTTGTGCTCTTTGCTAGGGGTGATCGCTGTAAAGGATAAACGACAATGCCTCTGCTTCCATGAAGGGTAACTTTGTTGTCTCTGTCCCCCTGCCTTTCCCCTCTCGTTTCTTAAGAGGTCACCAGTGGTTTTGTGTTGTGAAACTGACCATGTAAATTTCAAGCGGAAAGTTAGTGTGTTGAAATAAGCACCAATTTTTATTTAGGCTTCTGTGTTCCCTGCAAGCATATGCTTTTACTCTAAAACAAGCAGCAAAGGACGGGAGGCCTGTTATTGTTCTGGCTATCACAGATGTTGAATGAATATAAGGTAAGGCAGATTATTTTGGGGGTGTCTTCTGGAAGACCTGCCTTTTCTAGAACAGCGCAGAAGGATATCAAGGCCACTATGTAATGATGCCGAGGCCTATCAGGAAGGGACAGAGCACTGCCTTTGGCTGTCCTGACAGCGGGAGCAGGGCTTGTGCTGGCCGGCTCTGTGTCACATCAGGAGGAGCAGCTTCCTGAACTCGCTTGGTCTCCAGCTGGATGTGATGCTGGAGCCAACAGCTGGATTCCTTCTGAAACATTTGTTTGTGCTCTTTGCCCCTGGGACCTAGTTTTGCCAGGCCACCCCCAGAGAAAAAGACCCAGATGGAACTCCGAAGGTGGCAGCATCCTGAGGATGCTGTGAGTGGCCTTAACCTTGGCCACAGCAGATGTAGAGAGTTCCGGGGAAGTCTGCTACATGGTCCCACCTCCACTGGCCTGTGACTGCTGAACACGGGCTCTGGGTGACGGGGGAAGAAGTTTTCTACAGAGGGTCCTAACAGAAGGGTAGCTCACCTCTTTGGCTTTGTCTCTGTTGGGGAGGAATCTTTCCTTCTACCCTTCTAGGTTCTTGACTGGGCCTCGTGTCACGAACAAAAGATAGGTTAATAAGAGAAAACCAAGCACAAGTTTATTAACCTGTATATCTCATACATAAGCTAGAGAAACTCAGAAATGAGTAACTCAAAGAGGTAGCTTAGAACTCCGGCTTCTATGGCATCTTTGATAAAGAACGATATATTTTGAAAGAAATGATAAGACCAATGAAAGCGGTTTTAGACTTCCAAGGGCCGCAGACTGTGGGAAGATAGATATATGGGAAACTAATGGTAGGTACAGGCTAGTTAGTGAAGTTTGTTGTGTAGGTTCCTCTGGTGCTGTCTCCATGCTGCCAGAGTCTAAAGTTATCTCTGGTGATTCACTTTTGTCCTTCCTGGTAGAGAGGGTAGTAGGGACAAC